GTGAGTCTGTGTGCCAGATCCAGTTTGCCAAATAATTAAAGGAAAGTGATCATTATATAACTTTCCGCTTATTACTTCATCTGCTGCCTTACTAATAGCATCGGCAATTTTAGAATCCAAGTTATATTCTTTATTTACTTCTGCAGCAGCTTTTTTTAATATACCCATAGCTATTATCAACCTACACTATAAAAATAATCATTGGTTATTTCAAATATTTAGACGAGAGAGAGAGAGAGAGAGAGAGAGAGAATATATTAATTAAAAAAAAAAAAAAAAAACAAATAGGTCAATTTATTGTTCTTGCTTACAGGCATACGTTCAAATGTATCACCAATTGGAAAGTTCATCAGTGCTCGAAGAGTTTGTGCACCATAATATTTGTTTGCAGGAACTTTTAATTCTCCAAATGTATCTCTCTCAATTCTGTAATTTTTGTGTTCTTGTTCCTGCACATAGTATATAATTATATTCACATTAATAACACTAAAATATATTAAATCATATATGTATTAGGTACTTTTGTAGTATAGGTACTTTCATATGTATATGTGTGTTTTTGTCTTTAATATATTTCATGACAATAAAATTTATTAGAATCGATAAAGTTGTATTATACAAAAATTATCATGTAGTAGTTTGCTTTCTGTAGATAATTTTGTAGATTTTTCTAAAGATTATCTTATTTTCTTATTAATTCGAACTATATATAGATTTCTTTGCTTAAAGAAAAAATTCTGCATATTTTAAAATTAAAAAAACTAATGATTTATAAAATATCTTACTTTATAGAGATATTTTCCTCTATTTAATCTTTAATTTCTTTAATTATTCTCCAAAATATTAAGAGATATAAAAAATCAATAGTTTTCGAGTTATTTTATACTTTATGGCACACATGAAATATTAAATCTCGTGAGCTTATTTAATTGTTTAATAATTAGTAATTCACGAGAACATAATCTTAATACTTTTATAAACAGAATGAGAAGAATCAATTGGTGAAAGAAAACACACAGTTGGTTATTTAAAAAAATGAATCATTTTTGTTTAGATATTTTTTTAAAGTAACTAAATTTTCTTTATACCAATTCATTTTAAGATACAATTGCCAAAAAATTAATAGTTCACGAAATATCTAATATTTCATGTTAATATGTGCCAGAAAAAAGTATAAAATATCTCATAAACAATTGTTATTTTGATATCTACTTTTATACAGAAGAATTGGAGGAATCACATCATGTAAAAAAAAAAATCATAAAATTCTATTTAAAAAAATAATGATCTTTTTAAAGTATTTACCAAAAAAAAAACAATATAACCAAAATCCTCCTCAAAACCGTTCCACTTTCATTTGAAACATTCTTTTGCATCATCAAAAATAAATGAAATGATTCAAGATGTTTGAGTTAAGTGGACACCACTCTGTAGTTATGGTCCAAAATTTACTGTTAGTACTAAAACTCTACAGTTTATATGTCACGTGCACATTATATACTTTCAATGCTGGCAGTAAATTTTGAAATACAATCTGTATGTCAAGGATAGAAAAGAAAGTGTGTATAACTAATGTTAAAGGTCAAATTCATTTCTTCAAATTATACACACATACACACACGTATGCACGCGCCGCATGCACGCACGTACACACACATACACACACACACACACGCACACACACCTGCTCTGTGTGTGTGTGTAATTTGAAGAAACGAATTTGACCTTTAACATTAGCTATACACACTTTCTTTTCTATCCTTAATACACATTCGGGTCCCTACGACTCCATATTTGTTACCCTAACTTCTGTAAAAATGAACATATTTTTCAATTAATTTTTTTTTTAATCAATAGAGAATTGATTAAAGAATAAATCCATAATATGCAAAAGTCGATAGAATTAAAGAGTTTCGAGACATATAAATACAAAGAAAAAGAAAAGTTTAAGAACACAAAAAAATCTAAATTTAGCAAATTGCTGGGATTTCTGGAACTCTATTGTGAAAAGCTAAAATTAAATCTAAAAAGCTATTCTATCTAAAAAAAATAAATACAGCGACAAAATATAGATTTCTTACGATATCATGTAATTTTTATCGATTAGTTTTTCCTTATTTTCAGTTTTAAAAAAATAACTAAAAATAATAGGATAACTGTTCCAATTGTGCTTGTCCCTATTAGTGTGCTTTTGTATTTCGAAAAGTCATAAAGAAAACTAGCACAAATAAATAAGAAAAAATATTTTTTTTTGTTAAATTAAATTATTAATGCATACAATATTTTATTTTTTATTCTTTAAAATATTTAAAATACTTTAATACTCTGACGATATTTTATGTTTTGAGTATTAAAGTATTTTAAATATTTTTCGAAAGATATGAGGAATTCACGAATCCAATAATACGGATCGCAAGATTTTAAGCTTGTCCCTATTAATGTCCCTTTATTGGAGCTGAGAACGTTGTGTTATGAGTACACTTTGAAATAAATATAATTGAAATAATAATTTATGTAATATATTTACAATTAGCTTAAATAATAAACAATTAGCTTAAATTTATTACCTATTTTAGTAACTATATGTTAAAATGAGTCAAATGTGGATAGGCACACAAATTGGAGGCACATTAATAGGGCCTGCTGCTTAAAGGACTCACAATAGGGATAAAAACATGTTTTCTATTTTTGTCAAAAGCATTATAAAATATTAACATTTTTTAGATTAAAGAAATATTATAAGAAAAAGAAGTAGATAAAAAACTGATACTGATTGCAAGCAGATAAAATTAAAGCTACAATATTTAATAATTAATTCAATAATAAGTAAATTGGCTAAAAGGCACATTAATTGGGGCAGTTATCCTGTAATATTACTTTATTTTTTCTCTGTTATATATAATATAACAGAACAGCTTCAAACTATTCACCATTTTATTAGAATTATATAAGATGTTAGATGTAATCAGAACACACACACTGGCAGAAAGACTGAAGGTTAATAGAATGCAAAAGTTGTCAGCTTTGCTGATAAACATGATAAGTAAGATGTAAGTAAACATGTCATGTGTGCGTGTGTATATGTGTAGATATAAAATAGGTACATATAGATGTAATTAAAATTGTATTTTAATATTTGTATAATATCAATTTGTATAATATCTATTACATATTTGGAAATGTGTGCATATTTTTAATATCATGACATTTATTTAAACAAAATACGTCATTTTTTATAAAAGAAAATTAATGACATACTTAAAGAATATATGATATTATTACGATATTATTACGATAATAAAAATAAATTACCAATAAAATTAAGAATATTAGTATATAAAATTATGTAAAATTAAGTATTACATAAAAGCGCGCGCGCGCGCGTTGTGTGTATGTGTGTATAAGATTAAAATACATTTGTAAGATTGTCGTGTATGTACCTTATTGATCATAATGACTGTCGAAGTAGATAAATATAATTTTAATGAAGAATAAACAGACAATTTTTTCAATTGATGCAAACTGTGATTAGCGAGATGATACTTCAGCATGTTCAACATCGTCGTTTTCGAAGTTTTGACAATCTATGTTAAATTTTTAGTAAATTCTAAAGAAAAGAAACATCAGGGAATAGACACGAATAACGAACAATAGAAGAAATCTTGGGTGCGTTCCCATAGAATGCATTCCAAAATCATATTTTGATTAGGATGCGTTCCCACAGAATACGGGACTGCGAACGTTCGTGATTGGTCATGCGACTACATTCCTCTGATTCCGCCGTTTTCTTGTTCAAATTTATGGTCCGTATTCAGAACACGCTTACGATGATGTTAGCGCGCTAATATACTATAATTTACGTTACGCCTACTATAGAATTTCAGAGATAAAAGCGCGCTTTTATCAATAAAAGAGCATTCGGAATACGGATCTATGTCTTTTCCATCGATATCTAGAGACTCTATAGTATAAGGCGCTCTGTACAATAAAAGGAACAGGGAACAGAAAACAGAGAATAAGAATTTCAACCTATCAGAAACTGTGTATTCCACAATACATGATTTCTGATAGGTTGAAATTCTTATTCTCTGTTCTCTGTTCCCTATTCCTTTTATTGTACGGAGCTCCTAACAGAGATTCGCAAAATATCACGTGATCGATATATTTCTCTGATTGGACTGGAGTAATTCGTAATAACTGCCATATTGAATTTACTATCAATGGTCTAGTTTTCACCGAGTTTCGGTTTTTACTCGATGGAAACTAGGCCAATGTACTCAACATGATTCCTGTCGACTGCCGTGAAATGAAGTTATTAATCCTTCAATGTTTTGGATATTTATTCATTATTTCATGATTTGCATTGAACGTGCATACCTTATGTACAGAATTTATGTTCTCAACGAATTGCGTCGCTGTAACAATAATACTGGCCTAGTTTCCATCGAGGATTTAAACCCGATCAGAATGTAAGAACAATCAAATACAATTGGAGCATTCCCCTGATGTTCAACTAACAATATTGGCTGCGATGCTGTCAGTGGGAGTATCACAGCCAATACGGTAGCAAGATTATAATTCAGCTAGCAATCCAGCAGGAAAACAAGCATAGTGTGCCGCAGACTTTAGTGTAGATACGAACCATATCTACTTTCAACGATATGATTTCGTTAGTATCAGAAAATGTATGTTGTCACGTAGTTCCCAAACTGAAAATGGATGTACTGGCGGTACAAGCAATTTCGACGGCAATAGGCTGGCATAGTCTCTCTTAAGTTTCTCTCTGAGCGTGATATTTCTTTAATAGTATTTCGTCGGTCACGTCGGTGATTGAATGGATTGCTTGTATAGTGGATGTATCACAAGTCACA